CAGAGCACACTGAGTGCCAGTCTCTGGCCCAAGAATTTACATGTAAGCTCACTTAGAGGGGGCAGGGTGAAGCTTACACACATTTAGTGACTTGCCCAACACCGCACAGGGACATCCTGCTACGTACTGAAGGGGTATTTTCCTACAAACCCCGTGGTTTTCTTAGGAACAAGAATAGAGGGGTGAGGAGTTGGGGGTCATCACCAGGAAAACCTCACCATCAGCTTTCCCTGTAAAATCATGGTTGTCTAAAATCATGGCTGTCTGGTCAGCCACCCATGGGGCCCTCTGTGGCAAAGCTGGGCTGGGTTAGCCACACTGGGCTAACCTTGGGAATTCAAAAGATATTTAAAAAGGCTTGCAAGGTAAGGCCAGGCATTAACATCAAGGTGCTATACTGCTTAACTTTGGCCTGGATTAAGCACCTGGGGCTACAACAGAAACAGAAAAACCAAGCCTGGAAGCCAAGGCTCTGGCCCAGGGAGGACAAGGCTACTTTTGGCTACACAAGGAACTAGTGACTATCTGAAGTCAGCCCAGCTGCCCACCAGGATCATCTAAAAATTGTTCACAAAGTTATCCATCTGCCTGGGCCTCAACCCTTCATTTACTTAGGTAGAACTATACATTTGTAACTTTCACCCAGAGAGGCAGCCACTGCTAAATGGCAAGAGATAATTAAGATTAGAAGGTCTATCTCATCACCCCTAGAGGGCAATGTTCTGGGTCCCTGAAATGTCAACAATAGGGAATGGGATCAAAGGGCTTAGTGAGAGGTGTGAGGTCCAGGGCTAGGAGACAAGAAATTCAGACTGTGAAAAGGAGCTCAAAAATGTCCAGTTCTGTATGTAGGGAACGGCCCCACAGCTCCCAATTCCAAATCTGCTTGTATCTTGGCATCCTGACCAAGTTCTAATCAGGCCCTGCCTATCAAGAATGAGGGGGAGTCACAGGCATCTACTCCCACTACATCCCCAAAGCACCAACATAAGACCAGCAGAAAGGCCCCCACAATCCTCCATGTGGAAGGTCTGGGTCCACACCTGAAACCTGGTGAGGAGCAAAGAAGGACAGTCCTGAGGCCCTTACTTGGGGGTGACAGAATGCACCAGGACTCTGGCCGCCTCCCGAGGGGCCACGTGCCGGCAGGTCACCACGAGGCGAGACGCCACAGCCACTCCTGAGCCCCACACGGTGCCGCACTCCACCAGCACGGCTGCGGCTGCCCACGGGGGTCCCGGGTCTCGAAGGGACAGGCCCCGCGGGACGCCCACCTCGGGCGGCAGGAGATCTGCCAGGGCAGCGACGTCGGGCTGGAGGTGGGCGAGCGCTGCGCGGGCGACGCGAAGAAGCGGAGCTGCGGCGCAGAGCAGAGTGAGGCCTACCCACTCGCGGGCCTTCCAGCAGAGTGGCGCCGCCACCAGTGCCACCAGCGATCCTCCGGGTCGCGCAGCGAAAACGCCACCGCCCTCAGTGCCTGGCAGACAGCGAGCGTCGGTAAGCAGCAGCGGGCCGGCCACGTTGCTGAGCACACCGCGGCTCAGCGTGTTGAGGAAGATGTCTGGGCAAAAAGCCCCGAACGGGGAGCCGCAAGCCAGCAGCTGTGCGCCCTTGGGCACAATCCCGAGAGGCGCTACGGTCACCGCGGGCCCGACCTCCTCCTCCGCCTCCTGGCCGGGCTGCACCCGCAGCAGCGCGAACCAGCCCAACGCTCGCAGCTGATCCTCCTCCTCTTCCTCTGACACCTCATCGTCTGGCGCGGCGCTCGCGAAGCGCCACTGCTCTGCCGCCTCGCCTCCGAAGAGGCGCACGAAGTGGGCCCGAAAGGCTGGGCAGCTTAGCAGCAGCAGTAACTCGGCCCTGCGCGGCGGTTGCAGGGGTCGTCCGCGGGGCCGCGCGGCCAGGCCGGGTTCGAGGCCCGAGCATTGCGGCGTGCACAGTCCGGGACGACCCGGCTCGGCGCGGCCGGCGGGACTCGTGGCCGTTGGTCCCCATTGTACGTGAAGGCGCAGGTCGTCACTACAACTGTCGCCGGGCAGGGTGGTGGTGCCGGCCGCGGTCAGGACCCCGCTACCAGCCCGCAGGAAGGGGGTGAAGATTCCCCCGTGGCACAACACCAGGCCCGGGTTGCAGCTCAGGATTACCCCGCTGCAGCTCCAAGAGCCCGCTTCCGGCTGTCCGGCCCTGGAAGCGCTCACCACGCAGCCCGCCTGCTCGGCCGCCTTCATGGAGGGCCCCCACTGCCGCCCCATGGTTCCTTGGACTGGACTTCCAAGGTTTCCCCAAGAACAAGCCAAAATGCAAGATAGGACCCGGACCCGCCAAGCCAGGGGAATTCGACTCAGCGCTACACACAACTGTGAGCTAGAGGCGAAAGCACTGACTCAGGTCTTCCTCGTCAAGCCCGATTGGCTAAGCCCCAACTGGCCCGACCCGATTGGCTGGGCATGGGGCCGAAGTCTGATTGGCTGTGTATCTCCTTTCCCCGCCCTCTTTGGATTATCCAATTTGTGGGATTTCTAAACAGCCATCCCACTAGACCAGCCCCAGGAAAGAGTGACAGGCGTGCGTCACCGGGATTTGTGGTGAGATGGCTTGAGGGATCCGCCCTCCGACCCTAATTTTTGGTAAATAGAAATGAGCACTTAAGTAGCTACACATGCCTATGCCTTTAGAGGCCAGATGCAGATGATCCTTAGTCTCTGACCCGGGATAATGCGCCCAATTTACTAGGTATTTTGAAAATGCTGTTATTTTTGTATTTTGAAATTTTTAAAGTAAACCTTAAACCGGGAGCGGTGGCACAAGCCTGTAATCCCAACGACTCGGGAGGCTAAGCAGGGGTATGTAAGTTCGAGGACAGCCTCAGCGATTTAGCAAGACCCCTGCCTCAAAATTAAAAAATAAAAATAACAAGGAATGTAGATCAGTGCTAAAATTCTCTGGGTTCAATCCTCAGTACAAAAAAAAAAAAAAAAAGTAAACCCTAAGCAATCCACCAGGGGGCACAGAATTCACAAAATTACTCCTAGGACCTTTTGTTGCTAAAGTGCCAACTTGACAAATCTCATGGAAACTGGATTTGCTCTAAATTAAATTGTCCTTTAAACTATGATAATAGTTTATAATATTAGCTAAAAGTCAAAATTTTTCATCATGCAATTCTATATTTTGCAGTATGCACATTTGACATAATAACATAACCACCACTCAGGATTTATGTAGGCCAGCTAATCTTTTTTTTCCTGAAAAAAAGCAAAAATGGAAATAGTTCAAGTTTTGCTGGCCATATCTTTGTCACAAATACTCAACTCTGCAATTGTATCACACAAAAGCCAAAGGAACCATGGTGGCTGTGTTCTAATAAAACTTTATAAATTTTGCAGTGTATAGTATAGCACACCTGTAATCCAGCTGCTAAGGAGACTGAGGTGGGAGGATTGCAAATTCCAGGTCAGCCTCCCCAGTTTACAAAGACTCTGTCTCAAAAAAAATAAAAAGGGCTAGGGATACAGCTCAGTGGTAAAGTACCCCTGAGTTTAATCCCCAGAACTATATACACACCAAAAAACAAAAATTACAAAATTTGAATTTCATTATTTTCATGTTTCACAAAATAGCATTCTTAATTTTTTTCAACCATAAAGTGTAAAAGTCTTTATTAGCCCAGAGGCCATACAAACACAGCCAGCAGGACAGATTTGTCCCTCAAACAGTAGTTTGCCATTTCTAATCTAGGTTAACATAAAACTTCCCTACTTTTCCAAAGAAGTATCTTGAGAATAGGCAGCCCTGGGAGGACTTCGTGATACTCCAAAGCAGTCACCACAAGCTACACATTTTATGAAGTCTTCTTTATCACTGTGTCACTAAAATGTTAATCTTTAGCAAGATTACTAGTACACATCTAAGTCAGCAATAATGAAAAAAGTTACTATATAAATTACATAAACTTTTTGCATAACTTCTTTGAATAAAATTAATGCTGCTTGGTGTATTCGCAGCACAACACATAATAATGCTTTCAATGTTCCTGGTGACACAAATCAGTTTGAAGAAAGGATTGACCGTGGTATATGAGGCAGATCTGAAATTAAGCAGCCTTCCCACACCAGGCACAGTCTTCTTTTGGTTTTATGACACAGAAGATAGCTTGTTCACAGCAAAATCTCCCCTAATTCAACTTCTGAGCAATTAAGACTTTCTCTCTAGAGTCCAGTGATTCTCCCCTAATGACGCTCAAGCCTCTGGCATGAACTGTTATGCGTCAGGATTTTTTGTTTCTGTGTACAGAAGTCCCAAGTCACAGCCAGCAGTAGCCAAGGTGAGACCCACTGAGTGCTAGGCTCATCTTTGATCTTCATGCTGTACTCTGCCTCAAACAAAACAATCCCATTTCCCCATAGAACCCATGTCATCCTTTCATATCAGTAGGAACGAAAGGACATTTCCAGTGGTTTAAGTCTCAGTTGTAAAGAACCTGTTTCATTTTATTTCCCATTCTATTTGTCCTGATTTTATTTTGGAATCTCTTTTGTAGTTTTCTAAAAGCAAGGCTTCTGACAAAGTCCACTAAATGCCCAAGGAGTCCTTCCCCTTATTTGACAAGGGTATCATTCAACTGATTCTCTTCAAGTCGTATAAAATGAGTTAAATAGAGCTAAAATGGATGCTTCCCTGCCAGCTTGTAAGTAAGATTTTGCTTACACATCTACCATCCCTCTCCTGTTGCAGAAATGACAACAACCCTGGGTCTACAAGACACTTCAAGGTTCCCAAACAGTACTAAAGTTCTTCTACCAGCCCAGCCTTGTTTATTTCTTTCTGAAAACAAAATTCAAGATTCTTACACCCACCCTAAATGTTTCTTCCTCTATGAAGGGAAGAACTCTGCTTTTCCTCCCCCAAACAGATGATTATATGCTCAAACAGAATAAATCAATGAAAAAAAAAAAAAAAAAAAAAGAGAATAAAAAAAGAAAGAAAAAGAAATAGCAAGGTTGTTTTAACTTTTTATTAAAATGCTTAGGATACAGATTGACTTTCTTTTGTAAATGAATGTTTTACTTTTCCTGAAGTAGGACATATATGCACTCTGATAAAACAGAATGAAAGGTCTCAGCTTGTGGGAGTTCCTGTACAAGGCTCTGCTCATCTGTCTGGAGCTGAGCTCCTCCAGTAGCTTTCTCAGCTATTGTATGATAAGAACAGTGTTCTGTGGGGCAAGAAATCAATGGGTGCTGCTTGACTTTTCAACGCCCTCTTCCTCCAGTGGCCAAAATAAACCACTTTCACAAAGAACTGTCTTATGTAGAGACCACAGTTTTCTAGCTTACTACAAACTGATTAGGGACAAACGAGGTGAGAATGGAGAAACAGAAAAGAAAACTAACACTGAAGCCTCATGTCTTTGATAGAAAATTATGGACAACCTTTAAGCCAAAGGAAATAAAAAGTATGCAAGTTATCTATCTATAACTAGTTCATTTGCTGTTAGCTAGATTTGTTCACTTAAGGCTTTGACCCCTTTCCAAACCAACAATTTTGTCTTAATCCAGCTATGCTTGCTATAAACACAACGTATGAACCTCCCAGACATACTTTATGGAGCCTCTGCATTTGGGACCTGGCAGTGGAAAAGAATGCTTTCCCAACAATAAGGTACTGAAGACCCAAGAATGAGAAAGCAACTAAAGAATGATCCTGTCCCACCCCAGGAGTGTATTATCCATAGTCTCCCTACCCTCCCATTAAAGTCAGAATCTAGTGAACTGAGTTCAATCTTTTGCAAAAAAGTATCATCATCACAATTTTCAATTTTGAAGAAACTATCTTCAATCTTTTATTAAAGAAATGAATATAGATACCTCCCACCTTAAGATGATTTCCTATCATCTTTCACCACACTAGAATATAGGTTAAGATCATGAAAATCCAATTTTACACGTGGCACTATGAAAATGGAATGCTATAAAAACAATGCCCATTGCCCTCATGGGGATGCTGATGCTTTCATACTGATGTCAGCCACAGGAAGAGCTCTGTAGGATGTTCCTGGGTTGGTGTTTTTCCCCAGCTTATTTTTGGAACAACAAAAAGCAATTTCATACCAAAAAGACTGGAAAAGCTGCAGATAATAACCTTTACTTTAAACACCAACAAAATAGGTAACTGATGAGAAGATGTAAGAAAGAGAATTCATGAACAAGAGAAATCAAATTCTGCAACTGTTTTTTAAAAATTTTAAAGCCCACTGAGAAATCTTTCCTAGATTCACACAAGTGCTGTAATACCAGATGTCTAAGTCCTCAACTCACAGAATTAAGAGCCCTTAAGCTGTTAATTTTGTCCTGTGTCCTTCTATTCAGAATAATTCCCCCCTTAGAATCTCTGCAAAAGTAACTCAGACACCCCTGCAGTATGTGACTATATGAGAGATGTTTCGACTCTTTCTTGAAGCGAAATTCAGTTTTTTTTAACTGAAAATAAGAAAAGATACTACAGAGAGCAATGAAATTTCACAATAGTATTAAAGCAAAGATTGGCTGAAATTCGTAACTTTATAAGTAAAAATAATATAATAATAACCCACTCTATAATTAACTCCTCCACAGTGAACAATCTGTTACCCACTCTGTGATGAGGAATGACTCCAGCTGACCACAGTGGAAACCTGCCACAACCATAAGGCCAAGTTTCTGACCTTTTTTTAATTCTCCATGGACAAGCTGATGCCACCTCCTACAAGGCAGCTACAGAGACAAGGGAGCTTAGGGGAGCTTCTCTCACCAACCTGCCACCTCAGCAGGAGTAAGTTCACTCTCCTGAACTCTGGCCTCCAATGTGTAACTGTTCATAATTTTATGAAGTATCTAAATGTCATTCACTAATTAAAAAAAAAAAGAATAGAAAACTCTGGACCAAGGAAATTGTGAACTCAAAAAGTCAAGAGGGATACCAATTACATTAACAACACTTTCTTTAAAAAATAGAATCACTTTCTTTTGAAATCAACCACAGTGGTGAGACGTGTTTTTCTTCTCAGGTGTCCTGTGATGGCACACAGCCTTACCCGGCAAATCCTGCCAGCTTCCAAGTCCGGGGATACTGACCTGCACCAGCACATGGGGCAGCGTTACCTCACAACAGTATGGAGAAGAGCACATGTCACCACTGGGCATAAGAGTTGACAAAGACTCTTGGCTTCTCAACGCCAGACATGGTTGGAGAGCTTTCCTTGTTCTATTAGAAAAGTTCATGAGGAAGCTGTGAATAGGATCAGTCCAGAGGAGTAAAACTCTTTTATTTTCACTGTCCAAACATCAGTCAATATACTGGGAGAGCCAGCGGAAACCCTCGCCGTAGCCTTGCCTCTTGAGCACACTGCACATAAACACTTCCATGGGGCGGGCATTCAGTTCCTTCAGAGTCACATTTCCCTAAGGGAGGCAAAGCCAAGAAAGGGCAGTTAGCATCTCTGTGGTGGAAAAGCTTGAAAGGGTGATCACTAAAGTCTGTTACTCAGTTCTTTAAATGCATATCTAAGTGGGTATTAATTACAGAAATGTGGTTGAGGCCATCTAGATGACTTCCCTAGGGCCTCTTGCTTTCAGGATATAATAAGTAGCATAGTTCTATTGCCAGCCATTCTCTCTCTCTCTCTGTCAAGAGCATTTGCTTTGAACACTTAACATTCATCTAGAAAGTCATGGCAGCAACCAAGAAACAGCCACTGGGAGTCATGGAACCAGCATGTATTCTGATGGACAAGAGAGGTCCGGGACTGATTAGAAGTCCCACTGAGAATAATCAAGTGCTTTGATTCCAATGCTTGGAATGTGATATAAACGACTGCTTCTCTTCAAAACCTGAAATCTCCAGCCCTGAAAACAACAATAAAAAAAAACCCAAAACCCCACTTTCTGGCTAAGAAGTGTTCTTTTAAAAGATTGCTTTTCTACTAATTCTCCAAATTCCTAAGGAATAAAGTATCAGAAGGTTTAAAAAGGGGCTGCGGACACAACTCAGTGGTATAGTGCTTGCCTAGCATGTGTGAGGCCCTGGGTTTGATTGCAAGCACCACACATAAAAAGAGAGGTTTAATAACATGCCTCTGCCTTTAGTGAGCTTACACAATTACTTACACTAAAAGAAATCCTAAGCCTTTAAACTTTTGAAAGGAGACTCCAGAGTGCCAAACATCAGTGTTTCAGATGTCGTGAATGTCCTTTCTAGGCCTCCTAAAGACTTTTTTCTCTTACCTTTCCTGTGGTCTGTCCATAAAGCCCAAATATCTCGCGAAGTTTTTCTTCACTGATTGCATCTGTTCTGTCAATTTTGTTTCCCAAGATAAGGATTGGCACATTGGATATTGTTTCATCAGTCATTAAAGCCTAAAGACAGGGTTAAAAAAAAAAAAAAAAAAAGCTAAGTGAGGGACCAGATAGTGAAAACTTTGGGACTTCTACTGATCTTATAAGGCATTATATGCAAAGTGAAAAATCTGAACATCTCTATATCTGAATAAAGACTCATCATAACAGTTGGTAAAAAATCCTCTAACTACCTCAAAACAATTCCAACTTAAAGTTGTCTATTTATGAGACAGAAGAACCGCCCCAACCTTAACTTTTAGCTAGTTGGCTTAGCCACAAACCATCTTCAGATGGTCCTGCCTATTTGCATAGTCCAGAAGAATGAATGCTGTGGCTACATAGCCTCAGAGATGACCACAGGAACTACCCAAGTTATGAGTATCCAGTATGTGCAAAGCCCCATCTTGAACACAGCAAGAGATGCAGAATGAAGGATTAGAGAAGACACCCCAGTCCATATTCTATGTCCATATTTATGTTAAGAAAACTAAATAGTAACACAATGTAGTAGACTGTCACAATGAATGGGGACAAACTAGTAACAGTAAAACAAGTTCACGGAAATAAACAATTTGGGCCTAGCAAAACTGGGCTCTAAAGGAAAGGCAGGACTAACACAAGTGCAAAGAAGGAAAAACATAAGCAACCGCTTTGGAGTAGGATAAGAACTGAGGAAGCTACATGAAGTATTGCCTGGTGCAATTAAAGCATTTATACTGATATGCAGCAACAAAGTAAGGATAACCCACGTTATGGTGCCATTCTGAAAAGTTAGCTGCACTAGATCTACAGACCACAGACCAAAAATGTATACACATAGGACAGTGAATTTACAAATAGTATCTATCTGTGGTGCTCATGTAAGAGATGATAATATCTGCAAAGTAGCAAATTTAACGAATTGTGCAGGAGACATTTTAGAGAAGTTAAGTGAATTCTAAATGACAGAACAGACAAAAAAGGAGTTAAAGTCTGTGGAACAGATTTCAAGACTGGGCATCTAAGTGTTAATTGATGGGAAAGCTTGGAAAGAAAGAAAGAGTTGAAGCAATAGGGGAATATGCTCTGACCATTTTGAATTCCAGGAAGTGTTAAGACAAAATCAGAGTAAGGATGCTACTTTATCATGTAAATACTGATAAAGTGCTTAAAATGTGTCCAGTGCTGGGCTGGGGATGTGGCTCAAGCGGTAACGCGCTCGCCTGGCATGCGCGGGGGGCTGGGTTCAATCCTCAGCACCACATAAGAAAAATAATAAAATAAAGATGTTGTGTTCACTGAAAACTAAAAAATAAATATTAAAAAATAAAAAATGTGTCCAGTGCTTTGCTGGGGCAAAACAATAAGAAATAAGACAAAGTCTGTTTTAGTTAGTTTTTGCATCATTGTGACCAAAATACCAGAAAGAACAAATTAGAGGAGAAAAAGTTTATTTGGGACTCATGGTTTGAGGTCTCAATCGACAGATGCAGTCACTACTCTGGACCAGGGGTGAGGCAGCACACTGTGGGGGAAGGGCCCAGTGGAGGAAAGCTGTTCATGAGTAGGGTCAGGAAGCAGAGAGAGGGAAGAAGGGAAGGAGCCAAAGGGGAGATGTACCCTTCCAGACCCACCTCCTCTAGCCACACACCACCTGCCTAGTTACCACCCAGTCAGTCCACTCAAAATAGGTTGGACTGATGAGGTTACAGCTCTTACTATCCAATCATTTCACCTCTGAACATTCCTACACTAATACAGGAGCTTTGGGAGGTGCACCTAATAGCCAAATCATAACAAAATCCCCACATATAAGTTTATAGTCTTGGGGGACAATAGACATGCAGCTACGGAGAGACAATTTGGTCTGAGAAGTCAGTGATGGCTTCTCAGAAGTGGTCATACCTGAAATATGAGATCTCTCAAAGGACATTTTAAAATTTAATAGCAAAAGGGAGGCAGGCTGGATACTACAGTGACACAGCCACATCAATGTTCATAGCAGTACAATTCACAATAGCCAAACTGTGGAACCAACCTAGTTGCCCTTCAATAGATAAATGGATGAAGAAACTGTGGAGGGCTGGAGTTGTGGCTCAATGGTAGAGTGCTCGTCTAGCACGTGTGAGGCCCTGGGTTCGATCCTCAGCACCACATAAAAATAAAGATATTATGTCCAACTACAACTAAAAAAAAAAAAGCAAAATATTTTAAAAAAAAAAGAAACTGTGATACACACACACACACACACACGAATATTACTCAGCAAAAAAAGAATAAAATTATGGCATTTGCAGGTAAATGGATATAGTCAGAGAATATCATGCTAAGTGAAGTAAGTCAATCCCCCAAAACCAAAGGCCAAATGTTTTCTCTGATAAGTGGATGCTAATCCATAATGTGGTGGGAGGTGGATGGGATGAGTGGAGGAACTTTGGATGCGGCAAAGGGGGAGGAGGAGAGGGGACATGGGGATAGGAAAGATGGTGGAATGAGACAGACATCATTACCCTAGGTACATGTATGATTGCACAAATGTTGTGACTATTCTTTGGGTACAACCAGAGAAGAAAAAATTGTGCTCTATTTGTATACACTCAATCAAAGAGCATTCTGCTATCATGTATAACTGATTAGAACAAATAAATATATCATTTTAAAAAAGGAAGGCAGGCTGGGAATAGGGAGGGAGGAGGGATAGGTGAGGAAGCTAAGTGGGGAATGGCTACTTATGCATATCCAAGGAAGGACAAGTTGTTCTCTGTTTGGAATGTAGTTTAAGGTAGGCAGTAGGAAAAAAAGGAAGATAAAGAAGAAAAATAAAAACAGAGTGAGAATCATGAAAGATCATATGTTATGCAAAAGATTTATAGATTTTATCATGAAAGTGATACAAAAACCAAGCAGGGCAATGCCAAATCCAAGATAGTTTCCTCTAGCAATATAGTGCCTGGCAGAACGATGGAAGAATCTACAATAATTCAAAGGTTTCTGGACTGCTTATCTAGGAAACAGGAGGGGAAGATGAATAGCTTCCTCCTTTGAGAAAGCAGGATCAGTAGGTGGAATTATCCAGCAGGAAGCAATTATGCATGAGGCTGGGGTTCAGAAGAGGTCTGGATGAGAGAAGTCCATCTGGAGGTCATTGACATGTGGATGGGAGATGAAGGAATGGGGAATAGATGAAAGTAGCCTGAGAGAAAGTAGAGACTCTGGGGAACACCCACATTCAAAGGCTAAGCAAAGGAACAAGTACTTATGCAAAAACTGAGAAGTATAAGCTAGAGAGACAGCATCAAAATCAAGAGTGTAAAGGGGAGTTTAGAGAAATAAAAAATGGCCAATGCCAACAAGTTAAGTAAGGTGAAGACTGTCCTGTAGGCAATTCCACAAGACCAGAGCTGGGAATTATCAAGCCAAGAAAATGCAATGTTAGCCAGGCCCAGTGGCACACGTCTATAATCCCAGCAACTCAGGAGGTTAAGTGAAGTCAATCCCCCAAAACCAAAGGCCAAATGTTTTCTCTGATAAGTGGATGATAATCCATAATGGGGTGGGAGGTGGATGAGATGAGTGGAGGAACTTTGGAGTGGAGGCATGACAACTGCAAGACTGAGGCCAGCCTCAGCAACTTATGGAGACCCTGTGTCAAAATAAAAAAGGGTTGGGAATATAGCTCAGTGGTTAAGTGTTCCTGGGTTTAATCCCCAGTACCAAAAATAAAATAAAATAAAAACAATGGACAAAGGAGAAAACCTGCAGTGAGTCCTTGATAGTACTGAAGGATGCATGTGACCAAAAGACTGAAGATTGAGAACAGACTATTAAGATCTAGCAAGTCATTCAGTGGGAGGGCACATAGGCACAACCTGAGAAGGCAGATTTAAAAATATAGCTGGGTACAGTGGTGCACACCTGTAATCCCAGTGGCTCAGGAGGCTGACGCAGGAGAATAACAAGTTCAAAGCCAGCCTCAGCAAGTTAGCAAGGCACGAAGCAACTTAGCAAGATCCTATCTCTAAATAAAATAGAAAAAAGGGTTGGGGATGTGGCTCAGTGGTTAAGTGCCCTTGGGTTCAATCCTCAGTATCATAGATAGATAGATAGATAGATAGATAGATAGATAGCTGGTGTCTTTTTTGGGGTTTCAAGATACCAATATTACATAAAGACTGATACATGAAATGTAAGGCTATTAACTATGCTGGGACAACAGGCATAAACTGAGCAGTACCCTGAGCAAATTGGGCCAAAAAGTCACTGTATAATATAAAGCAGAAAAATCATTTAACTTGAAGCTGAGGTTCCCCAAGACATTGAAAAACAATACCTTGGGATTTTTTTTTTTTATACCAGAGACTGAACCTAGGGGTGCTTTACTACTAAGCTACATCCCCAGCTCTTTTTATTTTTTATTTTGAGACAGAGTCTCACTAAGTTGCAAGTAGCTAAGGCTAGCTTTGAACTTGCAATCCTCCTGGTCTCATTCTCCTGGCCACTGGGATGGCTTCCACCACTACACTGGCACATCTTCGTTTTTGAAACATATTTTTTTGTGTGTGGTGCTAGAATTGAATCCAGTGCCTCACGCATGCTCGGCAAGCCCTCGATCACTGAGCCACAACCCCAGCCCATTATGACTTGGACTTTCATTGTGTAAACTGGAATGATTAAATATTGGCACTATTGAGCTATATTCTTTAGAACATAGGCCAAAAAAGGAGGGGGGGGGGGAAACATACATTAAGCTCAATTTTGGATTCCATGAGGCGAGAATGATCTGCACAGTCCACCAGAAAGACAATCCCATTAATTGCTGGAAGATAATTTTTCCAAACCCGACGAGCTAGAAGACAAAATTTGTAGTTGCATCAAAAAACATATACTTTGATAAGGAATAACCTAAATGATCTATAAAATGAGCAAATCTTAGGCAGTTTCAGTAACATTAGACTTCTCCCTGTGGATTCTCTAAGTCCTGGGCTGTATTAAGTCAGAACAGAGGATGCAAACTGATGGTCTGTAAGCTGAACCTGTTTTTCTAAATTTGCAAATCAGAGCTTCTGTCTTCCTTGAAAAACAGTAATATCTGGCAAACCATGTCTATTTACCTAAATGCCCATCATCAGCTAGAACTAAACAAATGATGGCTTTCTTAAACTTTGAATGAGGCTTGATTTCTTCAGTTTGCCAAAGTCTCCATTGTTCCTATTGTCTTATGCTCAATTAATTTGACTCACTTAAATGACCTGTCTTGTCTATGGAGTCAATTTTGTTTGCAACCTCTGAGTTAAAACATGAGTGTAGGGGCTGAGGTTGTGGCTCAGTGGTAGAGTGCTTACCTAGCACGTTAAAGGACCTGGGTTCGATCCTTAGCACCACATAAAAATAAATAAAAGTATTGTGTCCAACTGCAACTAAAAAATAAATATAAAAAAAATAAAATAAAAATATGAGTGTAGTACCTGTCCATGTAACTATTTATTTTGGTACCAGGAATGGAACTCAGGGGTACTTTACCACTGAGCCACATCCCCAGCACTTTTTATCTTTTATTTTGAAACAGAGTCTGGCTAAGTTGCTTAGGGCCCCATTAAGTTGCTAAGGCTGACCTCAAACTTGCAATCCTCTTGTCTCAGCCTCTCAAGTAGCTGGGATTACTGGAATGCACCACCATGCCCAGCTTGTCCATGTAACTTTTTCTAATGCCTTACTAACTAGAATGTGGGTCTGCTGACATCTACTCAGGTCTCAGGGGCACTCACTCAGTCTCCCAAGTCAGTCCTTATAAGTGTTTTTTGATTGTTGTTTTATAAAAAGAAGTGAGAAAGGCTGGGAAGAAGGCCTTTAATTACATTATATTTCTCAGCCATTCATGTCTAGTCCTTGAATGGCATGAACAACAAAGTGTCTCTATATCAAAGGATTAATAACAATTACTTGGATACCTCTGAATGTGGGGCAGGGAGAGACTGGAACTGTCACTTTGACTTTCTATATTGCTATACTATTTTGTTACATTGAGTCTGCACTACTTTTAGAAGTTAAAAGTTTTGTTTTTCTTATAATTTTATGTATATTTTTTGTCATTGTTTTTTAATTCTAGGATTGAACCTAGGGCCTTATACATGCTATATAAATAATCTACCACTAAGCCACACCCCCAGCTCAAAAGTTGAAATCTATGCAAATAAAAAAAGGAAACTCCAGATGTGTAATGTTTTAGTAACTTCTATAAAATGGTGGCTTCGACTATGAAAAGGTGCCTCCATTAAACTTTCCTCATTCTGTTAAACAAAACGATGTACACCAACAAGTTTCCCTTCCCTTCTTACTTTAACAAAACATGAAAGTGAAATTTATCACACCAAATAATCTACTATTCCCAGTTCAAGTATCTAAAGACATCTGGTGTCTATTTCTTCAGCACTCTCCAGATGGTCTAGGTTGTCTTATCTGGCTCTGAATTTAAATATATAAAGCGTTACAAAGTCTTTTTGGAAGGAGAAAAGATACCAAATGCCCAGTGTTTTATGTGATTGTGACCATAATATATGTAGGATTATTCAAGATATAAATATTAAATGAGTAAAATTAATATAATATTCTAATGAACCCACCAATTATAAAATTATTAGGCTAGATAATTAAAAACTACCAATATTCTATTTTAACTGTTTTTTAAACTATATTAGATTTTCTTAATTATTTATTATTATTATTTTTTAGTTGTAGATGGACACAATACCTTTATTTGATTTGATTTATTTTTATGTGGTGCAGGGGATTGAACCCAGTGCCTCATGCATGCCAGGCAAGCGCTTTACCTCTCAGCCACAATCCTGGCCCCGCTAAATTAGATTTAACCTAATAAAATGCTCCCAAAACAGATTTCTCAACTCAATAACGATTGAGTAAATCTTACAGAATGTCAGTGGTTTCTTTTCCCTACCTTCTCAGAATATTTATTCCCTCACTTAAATGTTTTACTCCTATGCCTAGAGTCTTGCCAAATGTAAACTCACTACCCAAGAGATAAAGATGCCCATTTTGTAGATCTCAAAAATACATGAGACACCTGATGGGAAACTGTGAACCAAAAAGACATAGCCTGAATAAGGAAAAAAGACTCAAAAGAGAAAAGCAAAAAAATTGGAAAAAACAGTTCCAACTGTCCCAAATGGGTAGAGCATATGAAATATCAGTTTAAATCAGAATGGTCACAAGTAGTCACTGTATTATGTTGACAACTTTTGACAAGTTTAAAATTACTTATGAATAAAAGAGACTTGACAACTGAATACAATCTGTGATATTGTACTGGTCTATTCAAGAGGAACAAATGCTAAAAATGGAGATTACTGGGACAACATACAAAAAAGGAATATATGAGACAGATTAAAAAAATTAAAATCTTACATTTTACAACTACAATGATTATGTAAAGGAATATTCTTTTTCTTTAGTAAAAGGCATGAAAGTGCTAGGGAGTAAAGGAGCATGATGTATTCACAAACTGTTTAGAAAAATATAAATTTTTTTTTGAGAGAATTTTAATATTTATTTTTTAGTTTTCGGCAGACACAACATCTTTGTTTTGTATGTGGTGCTAAGGATTGAACCCAGGCCGCACGCATGCCAGGCGAGCGCGCTACCGCTTGAGCCACATCCCCAGCCCGAAAAATATAAATTTTAATGTTACTAGAGAGACTAATAAATCTGGACAAAAGTTATAAATGTATAGAATGTCCTGTATCATTTATGCAATTTTTGACAAGTTTGAAATTACTTAAAAATAGTAAGTAGATAAAAAAAAGTCAATGAAGTAGTAAGACTGCAATCCTAAAAATGGGCACAGTGGTACCTGCCTGTAATCCCAGAGACTCAGGAGGGTGAGGCAGCAGGACTGCAAATTTAAGGCCAGCCTCAGCAACTTAGCAAGACCTCATCTCAAAAAATAAAAACTGATTGGGGATGTAGATAAGTGGTAGAGCACCCTGGGTTCAATCCCCAGTACCACACATAAAAAATAAAGTAAATAAATGAATATAAAATAAAAGTCATTCCAATCATAAATGCAAGCAATTTAAAAGGTAAAAATGACACACTATTTGGGGAGCGTGGGGTGAGTACACAATGAACCATAAGTTAATGCCATGCCTTCATTAAGTCTCTTACCTTGCTCATGCCCACCAAGATCAAAAGTTGTAAAAGTCATTCCAGCAATTGTCAGCTCTTCTGATGCTGAAAAATTGTCAAGAGGAAATAAATAAACTTTTCCATCCAAAGGTCCAACTATTAATACTGTAAGCCAATACTAATGCAAAAACCTAATAAAGCTTTCACCTTGTGAAGAAAAAGATACAAAAATGAAAACTTTCTTAAAGAGAGTCAAAAGTTTACTTTCTAAAGGTCAAAAGTTTACTTTTCTCCAAGATGTGTTGTTTCATAGGAGATACGGGAGATGTGTCCCATTTTAGAACAAGAGAGAAGAGACAGTGACAATGTTCCAGAAGTTTAGATCTATGATTATTTGACCTTTTGTATGTACTAAAGGTTACTTCAAAGTAAGCTGGCTTCTGGGGCCTCATTTAATAAAAGAATAACATTAATTGGAGATTCACCCCTCCAATCTTGACATTGACCTTCTAAGGTCAAAAGAGCACCTGGTATTTTCAAACATACTTGGATGTAGTGTTGGAACATGTTGGCCCAATCTGTCATCTTTGAGCATGTGAAGAAGAGTGGTTTTGCCTGCATTGTCCAAACCCAAGAATACAAGTTTTCCAGATTTCTTGTAGAGTCCTAAAAGAGAACATAAATTTTTAATGTAAATTCTCTCCCTATATACCAAAGGCTGCTTATATTTAAATTGCTGGAGGAAATGCAGTGTGAAACCTGTAATATATTTAATATTTAAAGAAAATGGCTTTACCTAGGAACTGGAGCACACTGCTGAAGCCATTGTAGATCCACTCAAAGATGAAAGACATTATTAACGCTTACTACCTGTATAAAATATGAAAGTAGCAAACATTAACTTTTTAAATACCAGTATAGTTCTGGAGAAGTTAACTCTTATTCCCTGGCTCAGATGCATGTTCAGAGTCTCATGTTTTCTGGCCTAAGAAAGAAGATTAACTAATCTCCTTTACCCTTAAGACAAGGATTTTGAACATTGAAGGGAAGCTTCTAGGATCCTTGCATCTGCACGAATTCATTGTTTCCTAATAGCTATCAACCTAGGATACTCAGAATTATTAGTTAATGACATACGTTCCTCTTTTATTGTGTGACTCACTCCTCCAGGCAGCCGCAGCTCATTCACATTCCTTAGATACCACCAAGGTCTACCACTTAACAACACCTGTAGGAAATCAGTCTCATTAATAACCTGGATCAAATGGACACATAGATATGTGGAAAATCAGAAGAAAAGCATATTAACCTGTCTGTGCACAGCTCTAAAAAACAAAGCCAAAATTGTACTGGCTAACTTAATTTGTCCTGGTCCATTTACAACCTCTTTATCCCTACTGGGGATCGAAACCAGGGCCTTAAGCAAGCTAGGCCCTGTGCTCTAACACCAAGCTATATCTCCAGGCCTTTCTTAAATTTTAAGACAAGGGTCTCATTAAGTTGCTCAGGCCTGCTTAAGCCTACTGTGGATTACAGGTATACACCACTGAACCTAGCTAAATATTATCTCTTCTTTAATAAAATTTGTCTAATCCCTTTTGCAAATGTTTCAACTTATAAAAAGAAAAGACATACTATTTTATAGAAACAAAAAGGAATAGCATAATACTTTCAAATATAAATAATCAAGTTCAAACCCATTTTATAAATTCTTATTTTCTTTAAGTAAGAAAATTCACTCATAAGCAAGGTGAAGCGGCACACCCCTGTAATCCTAGTACTGGAGAGACTGAGGCAAGAGAATCGAAAATTCAAGGCCAGCTGCAGCAATTTAGCAAAACCCTGTCTCAAAATAAAAAGGATTGGAGGCCGGGTGCAATGGTGCATACCTGTAATCCCAGCAGTTGGGAGACTGAGGCAGTTGGATCACAAGTTCAAAGCCAGCTTCAGCAAAAACAAGGCACTAAGCAACTCAGTGAGCTATGAAGCTATATATCATTGACCAAATTTTGAGTGAGACCCTGTCTCTAAATAAAATAAAATAAAGGGCTGGGGATGTGGCTCAGTGGTAAAGTACCCCTAGATTCAATCCCCAGTGCCAGAAACAAACAAACAAGCAACAACAACAACAACAAAAAAAAACCCAACAACTCATTCAGAATACAGTAGTAGCTTTCTAAGCAAGTACATATATTAATTAGCACTAATTAATATAATGAGCAAGTATATATTTTAATTAAACAAGTACAAATATTAACTAAGCAAGTACATATATTAATTAGTAATTAATTAACTTAGTTTCCCACAGGCCTAGACAAAACAATGACCCTAAGCTACTAACAGGTCTAAACACATTGGTAACAGGATCTCTGAGTGAAGTTAACATGGAAGGGATCTAGAGACATTGGTGAGTGTAAGGTGTGTGAGAGCATTTTCTGGTTACAGTAAGTATTTGCCTCAATATCTCAGATTTAGGGCAGGAAAAAAAAAAAAGACCCTCATCCATCAACAAAAATATCTGTACACAAGACTTTACATGGGATCAACTATAATCAAACAAAAAACTTTCATGAATAGTAATGGGTAAGAAGGTTACACACAAAATATTCTTTTCTGTTGCCCAAGCTGGCTTTGAACTCCTGGGCTCAAGCCATCCTCGTGCCTCAGCCTCTCTAGCAGCTGGGACGGCAGGTGCACTCCACACATAGGCTGCACCTATATGCTTCAAAGAATGCTAGACGGAGAGGAAGCTGAAAAATGCAGACGGTATGTTTTTTCTTTTTCATTCAATTACTGGATTTCTGTCAGGGTTGGGTATTGACCTATAAACTTTAGAGCTTCCTTAACACTTTTCACAGCTCTTACCACAGAGGGACAAATAAAGCATGGAAATTTGGGTGGAGGTACAGATTGAGGGGAAAGGTTTTATGAAAATAAATTAAATGAAAGCTTTTTTCCTCCCTTTTCTGTAACATTCAATTTTATTTTGGTAGAAAGACCATATTTGGCATGTTAAATAACACTTTTGTTTAGAAACTTAGTCTACACTTTAAGTCCAATAACTTAAATGCACTTACAGGCTGGGCATGATGGCACACTTGTAATCCCAGTGACTCGGGAGGCTGAGGCAGGAGGATTGCAATTTTGAGAGCAGCCTCATGAACTTAGGGAGGCCTGAGCAACTTAGTGAGACCCTGTCTCAAAAAATAAAAAGGGCTGGGGAGTAACTCAGTGGTTAAGTGCCCCTGGGTTCAATCCCCAGTACCAAAAATAAAACAATGCATATACAAAACTCCCATGCTAAGTTTCTTTTACTACAGGCAAGCAAAAGGACAATGTGCCTTTCTGTATAGTCTCCTCAAAGCAGATACCCTTCCCTATTTTTCCTCAATCTATTGCTTGGAGAAGCACAATTCACATTTATTTATTATTTATTTCGCTGGGATTACAGTAGTGTGCCATCATGCCTGGCACAACTCATCTTTAGAGAGTGCCCTTCAATAAGTTACTCCCTGACCATCACTCCTTTACAACACATCTCTATTAATTTGTACTACACTGGTTTGCAGTCAATACTTTATAGATTCTCCCCCACTGCTCCCCCCTCCAAGTACTGGGGATTGAACTCAAGAGCTTTGTGCACACTAAGCAAGTGCTCTCCAACTGAGCTACATCCCAAACCCCTAGATTCTTTTACCACAACATTTTCAAAGTACTCCCAACCGGGCTGAGTAGTTATAGCTCATTGGTAGAGCGCTTGCCTACCATGTGTGAAGCACTGGGTTCAATCCTCAACACCATGTAAAAATAAATAAGTAAAGGTATTGTGTCCATCTATTTAAAAAAAAAAAAAGTAGTAGTACCCCCAACCAGTGAATTCTGCAAAGGTGATGAGGGGAAAACCTCACACTTCAAGGAATTTTTCACAGTACTTGAACTACTATGATTTTCCAATTTATTTTCCTTTGACATCACTGCTTAATGGGCGCAGTATGGCATGCCTATAATTCCTGCTACCCACAAGTCTGATACAGGAGGATGGCAAGTTTGAAGTCAGCCTAGGCTTAGTGAGACCCCGTCTTAAAATAAAAAATCAAAAGGGCCGAGGATGTAGTTCAGTGGTACTGTGCTAGCCTGGCATGTGCAAGGCCCTGGGGTCTACTTCCAGCACTGCAAACACTAAACAAAATTATCTATGGAGAGTGAAGAAACTTCAGGTGATGTTTAAAAAAACAAACAAACAAACAACAACAACCAAAAAAACCCTCCAATTTTTTACTGGACCCTAAGGATTGGGTTCCACTGCTACCCAAAGTTAAACAAATGGCCTTGATGTCTCCTCCATCCTTGAATTCTCAGAATTTATACCAACTCAGTCATTTTAGAGATTAGAGAGACACCTCATTTCATCCCTACACCAACTCACAAGCAGGGCTTATTAGCCTCATTTAACAAGATGAAGATGCTGACACTCCTAAATTAGCTGCCTTGTTCAAGACTACTTAGCTGAAAATCTCACAGTTCCAGGACCTCACACACATTAGGCAAGCACTCTACCACTGAGCTACATTCCCAGCCCTTTTTATTTTTTATTTTGAGACAGAGTCTCCCTAAGTTGCCAAAGCTGGCCTTGAACTTGCAATCCTCCTGTCAGTCTCCTGCATAGCTGGGATTACAGGCATGGCCACCATGTTTGGTTTTATTATTTCTGAGACAGGATCCTGCTAACTTTCCCAGGCTAGGCTTGAACTTCTGATCCTCTTGCCTCAGCCTCTGGAGTAGCTGGAATTAGAGCCACCCAGCTTAAACCCTCCTTTCATAACACCAAAGCCAAAGCCCTTTCTGTTAATATTACATAAAATTCAGATCCAAATCACAAAATTTATTTAAAAACTTCCTTAACCCATCTACTACATAGATCATAATCTTTTAAGTCTTCTTTATAATTCATCACACTTTTTGGATGGTATTTTAATAATTAGTATTTATTTCCTTTACTATCACATTATGGCAAGTAAGAGTATTCTAAAATTTAAGGGTTCTAAAGACATCAAAAATACTGCTGCACCTAAAACAAAGACTTGCAAAGTTAAGTTCTGATTCAAATAAGTACCGAAAGGAGAAACACCAAACAGATTATAACTCATTTTTTAAAATTCTGCATCATTTCCTATACACACTCAGAACAACTTTGAGAGACTATTCCAAACAGATCTGGGGTTTTAGCTAGGAAACCACTTGGCTGAAGGAGTAAATGTCAGCCCATGGCAAATCTCCCTAAACCTTCTGTCTACACCTAAGCAAAAGGACTCAGGGTAAAGACAAAGAAGAGGACCAAGAGAGAATATTTATAGAGGCAATTTGGTGCGACCCTTACGATTCTGACCCCCTCAGCTAGAATCGTAAAGAAAATAGAAATCTGTGCCGAACGCACATGAAGAAATTTTTCCGTGCACCAAAGAGGGGGAAAGAGGGAGGCGGAAGGAGAAAACACGGGGTTTGACACACGACATCAGATGACAACAGAGAGCTGACGTGGGGAGGAGCCCTGAACTAGGAGCCTGTAGACCTGGTTCAAGCGCTCACAGTTGCCAGCTGCGGGGACTTGCCAGGCCTCAGTCCCCGAGTCCGTACAAAATAAGGATGATCAAAAGCTCCCAACCGCCTCACCGAGGACTGAGGCACCTCCAAGATAGGAGACACGGAGCCGTTTCCTAAATTGGGGAGCACAGTACACACTAGGAAACTGTTATCCAGCCCGGCAACTGCAAGACCCCGAGAAGAATGCAAGTGAACTCAAGAGCCCGGAGGTCGGCAAGGGACAGAGCAGACCCGACCGAGTCGGCCCGTCCCCGCCCAGAAGCAGCCCGGTGGCCCCAAAGAACCGCCTGCGTGTCACTTCCCCCCCCCCCAACCCTGCCGAGGCCGGCCTCCGCCCCGACCCCCTTCGCGGCCCACCCCAGCTCTCTGGGCCCCGACTGCCTTCTCCGTTACCACCCCCTGACTTACAGCCCGAGGGGCTCCTCCGAAGGCGGCAAGCGGCTGGGACCCTCCCTCAGAACACACAGACCAGCACCACCCGGGACCGCCAGCTACTCACCGGATACACGTCATACCCCTCCCCCGGAGTTTCCGGGAGCGGCCTTGCCCCCGCCCCTAGCGTCACGCTCTCTTCCCAGGTACCGCCCTACCAGCGACTCTCGCAGCTGAGGGGCGGGCCTAAGGCGTGACGTGCGCGGTCGAGGGCGGTCCCCACCTAGGCTCCACCTACTCTTGTGTAGCCAGCAGGCTGCGCGAGACGTGGCAGCACCTGGCTTCGCAGGCTGTGGTGGGATCCTCGAGTCCAGCGGCTGTCTTGCTCGTTCTGCTCCCCGGTTTCCTTTTCTTCGGTGCTCCTAGATGCACCGATAAGATCAAAAAGGGCAGACGACGGGTGGGTAGACAGGTTCTGCAAACAAAAGTTGACCTTAGGACCGGCGACCTCAGGTGGTTGCCATCAGTCTTTTGCTTTTGTGTTATCCAGCCCCCAAACTGATCTCCCAGGAAGGAAGTGATCCACACACGGTTAGCGGTATTCCAATAGGGAGCCTTTATTACCGGGGCTCGCTCCACAGCGAAGGAGAGTGACCCCCTACCGGAGTTAGGGTCGGGTTTAAAAAGGAAAAAAAATCGCAAAGCTCAGTATGGATGGCATCTCTCTTTTGTCCTATCAGCTCTCGCCAAGCAAGCAAGCAACCTACTCACAGAAACAGAATTTGCGGTTAGTCAGGAATTTTTGCAGGTGCGCAAAGGGTCCTAGTTTCCCCTTTTTAAGGGTCCTAATTCCTCCTTAGGTGGAAATTCCCTTCTGGTGGTTATTCTAGGAATTAATGCCATCTTTCTCTCTTTGGTGCTGGGGATCGAATCCAGGGCCTTTTGCATGCAAGCCAAGCACTCTACCAACTGAGCTATATTGCCAGCCCCATCTTGTCTCTTTATACAAACTGGAGCTAGGTTTGCTATCACACTTTAAGTTACATTTTCCCTGTCGTGGCAAAGCCTGTTGAGTGAAAGAGCTAGTATCTGTTCAACACTTACGCTCCCAGCAGTCCGCTGGGTACTTGGAGGCTTCATCTCATTTTACCCTCCTTACGATTTTCTGAGGCAGATACCATTATCAGCCCCATTGTACAAATGAGAACCGAAATTCAGATTAGCCAAGTAACCAAACTTAAATTCAAATGATAAAAAATAGCAAAGGAACATGTTGCCCCACTATACTTTGCTTCACATACATTTTCCTCATTTGATTCTGATGACAACCCTGTGAGATTGGTATTAGTACCCATTTTGCAGATAAAACTAGAATGGAAAGATGATACTCTGGGATAGGAAGATTTCGGTATCATAAAGATGTTAATTCTTAAGTAAAATTATAAATTTTATATATATTATGCCAAAGTCTGGCTGGGCACAATTCAGGAGCCACTTGTCAAGCAGAAACGAACTTTATTTTTAGAACACACATGCCACACCACACAAGCTCTTCAGAAATTCCCTCAGAGCCCAACTGCCACCACCAGGTTCCCACAAGCCTCTCAACCTCCCCCACTCCTCCTGCTCTTGAGGCCGATTGGCTGGGTCATGTGGGCGGAGCCAAAAAAAAGTCCCCCAATGAGCAGCTCCATGGTCTGAAAGGGCAGGGAAACAGCCCAATGATCATCACTGCAGAGGAGCCAATCAGTTGGCAGCTAGAAGTTTGCTGCGGCCGCTGTTAGCCAATCATCAGCTGGCAGCTGGAAGTTTGCTGGGGCCCCTTAGGCTGTGGCTCTCAACAATATTATAAATTTAACATAATCCCAGTAAAAGTACTAGTAGAATTAATAGGTGTGTGTGTGTGTGTGTGTGTGTGTCTAAACTACCCTGTTTCTAAAGTTCATATGGGAAAATAAATAAGGCTCTGGAAAACAGCTAGGAAGAAGCAGCTACCACTATCAGATATTACAGCATTATAGATCTAAGTGTGGTGGTACACTCCTTTAATCCCAGCAACTCTGAAGGCTAAGACAGGAGAATTAGTATTTCAAGACCAGCCTCAGCAACTTAGCGAGACCCTCTTTAAAAATAAAAAATAAAAGGGAGTGTAGCTCAGTGGTAGAGGGCCTGTGGATTCAATCCTTAGTACCAAAACAAACAACAACAACAGGAAAAAAAACATAGCCAGGCTTGGTGGTTCACGCTTGTAATCCCAGCAACTCAGAAGGCCAAGTCAAATTCCAGGCCAGCCTCAGCAATTTAGAGAGGCCCTAAGCTGGGGATATGACTCAGTGGTTAAGCACCCCTGGGCTCCATCCTCAGTACCAAGAAGACGACGACGAAGAAAAATATGTGATATATATACATATATATCTCCTCCATAATTATTTAAAACAGGTACAAGCCAGTTGAAGTGGCACATGCCTGCAATTCAGCCACTTGGAGAACTGAGACAGGAGGATCACAAGTTCTAGGCCAGCCTGGGCAACTTAGTGAGATCCTGTCTCAAAAATAAAAAAGGGGCTGGGGAAGCAGTTCAGTGGTAGAATGCTTGCCTAGCATCAGCAAGGCCCTGGGGTCAGTCCCCAGAACAACAAAACAAAGGAACTGATGCCAAAGCAATGAGACAGAACAAAGTACAGAAATAGATCCAAATGTACTTGGAGAAATAAAGTGGCCGATGGCACTCTAGCAACCACATCTCCAACCCTAGTGCACCACTTCTCCCCTCCCTTCATCCTGTGGGTCTTGGGTATTGAGTTTAAATCTTGCCCAGACAACAAAAAGGTCCAGGCCATGTTTTGTCCAAACCAGAGGACTGTGCCCATGGGGCTTACAATTGCAACGTGCACAACCTGGATGCATAGGTATATAGCCCTGGATTAAATCCCCAGTGTGCAAAAAAAGAACAAAAATAAAAAAACTTGAGTAGTCAAAAATCCAAGTTGCATCCATAAATGACATAATACACCAAGTAAGTTCCAGGTGATTTACATATGTTTGGGTAATAGAGTATGTACTTAGTATGCCCAAGGCACTAGATAAAATCATCATCACCAGAAAAGGTTTGTATATTTTAAATGACACTAGAAAAGTACTTGCAAAATAGAAGAAAGCATGGATTCCTTATTATCTTGAAATGAGGATGACCTTTCCAACTGTGATTGAAAATTCTGAAGCAATTAAAGGAAAGATTGACAAATTCAGCTGCATAAAAATAAAAGGCTGAAAATGACCAAAAATAATAAGGGCACTCTAAGGGCAAATAAGTTGAGAAAAATATTTACAAGTGAAAAATATGCATGAAAAAGACTAACAATATAAGCTCCAACTAATGGTCTCACCAAAATATGACCTGATTACTGGGGGGATTGGGGAGACAGAAAGTACATATACATGGAGAGAAGGGATGCATATCATTGAGTTACATTTTCATATTCTAAAGTTGTTAGAAAATAGGTATTTTCCAAATCTGAAAAAGCCAATTAGTAACTAAATAAGCATGCTATGCAAAGATATATAGGTAAGTTTAAAAAAATTCATTAAGAGAGTTAATGCGATTGTCTCCAGGGAACATAAAATTAGGCAGGAGTGTTGGGGTGGGCTTGGATATTTTTATATCAAGATTTGGAGTACCATTTGCCTCTTTATGTGTTTGTGTAACTTAACTAAATTAAAATAATAAGTAACAAAAAACAAAGACTAATAATGGAAAAATAGGAAAAGAATAGGAAAGGAAATACAAATGGCTCTTACACTTAGTAAAATAATAACATACTGTAAGCTGAGCACAAAGTGGTGCATGCCTATAATCCCGGCCACCTGGGAGACTGAGGCTGGAGGATCACAAGCTAAAGGCCAGCCTCAGCAATTTAGAGAGACCCTGTGTTTCAAAAAATGAAAAGGGTTTGGGGACTTGCTCAGTGGTAGAGCCCCCTAGGTTCTATTCCCAGTACTGCCAAAAACAACAACAACAAACTATAGAATATAGATAAACACTTTATATAGAGGACATATACGTATATAGGTAAAAGAGCTATTATAGAATATATGTCTTGAAAAATGTGTATCTCTGTATCTGTTTATATATGGATATAGATATAGTTGTTCCCTCAGTGTCCATGGAGGATTGGTTCCAGGACACCTCTCAGATACCAAAATCCAGAGATGCTTAATCCTTTATATAAAATGGCATAGCATTTGTTTATAACTTCTGTATGCCTGTTTTGAAAAAAAAAGGGGAAGGATCAAATCCAGACCCTTGTGCATGATGGGCAAGTGCTCTAGCACTGAACTCTTTGCTGCCTCCTGTATGCTTGAAATCACCTCTACAAATACAAAATAAACGCTGTGCATACAATTATTTTGTTTTGCTTTCATGGTGCTGGAGATTGAACCAAAGGCCTCCCGCACGTCAGGCATGTGCTCTACCACTAAACTTGTGTCTCCAGCCCTGTGTATATAATTGTTTAGGGAATGACAGGAAAAAAAATCTCTGAATGCCCCATAAAGATGCAATTTCCCCCCAATTGTTTTCCATCCACTGCTGTTGAATTCTTCTGACAGCTATTTGCATAGGGGAAGACACTAAGTAAGGTTTGTTTACAGATTCCTCTGGTACCATCTTTGAGTTGATAAGCGTTATTTGCTTATATTGGTATGATGGAAAGCACATTTCTCAAAGGAATTTTAGGGCTTGCTGCAAGTGGGAGCTGTTAAAGGGCAGTTCAGATGGTCATTTCTGTAACTCCTATTTCTCAAGTGTCTTCAGCTCTGATTGGTATGCCAAAATGACCTATCTTGGGGTGGCATGTTCTGATTTCTTTCATTACTGTTTATAGGGATGTATAGGTAATGCCATTTTTTGGAAAAATAGTTCTAGAGACAAGCTGGGTTTGAATCCCAGCTCTTCCACTTACTAGCATAACAAGGACTTAGAAGCTGCTTTTGCTAACAACACTGACTCTTTACTTGGGCCTGCAGATAGGGGTAACTAACTGCAGATGGTGGTTACCCCCAGTGAGGTAACTAAAAACAGGATAAAGCTTGGCATTTCTGCCTTCATTTTGTATCTGTCTTCTTTATTACCTTAAACTTTGGGTCAGAT